CTTTAGGACAAGGCATTTCTTTACTGATTCTCATAACCCAGCGGGTGGGGACTATCCCCAAGGATGGGGTTTACTTCTCATAGATCCCCTTGCTGGTGGACTCATAAGAAATCCCTGTAGCAGAAAAATACAGAAGGGAGCGGTCTACCCCAGCTGCACTTAAAAGTCAGAAATGGACATAGAGGTTTTGCACCCAGAGCATCTGATATAGCGCTCAAGGCACAAAACAAATTCTAAAACTTTAGATATTTACATCTAATTTAAAAACACCTATATGGATTAGCCTCATAGATGGCTACTTCACCGAGTTAGCATAAAGGTGACTATAGAATGTTCCGGGTCCACTGTACAGCTTGAAGATCTGTTCTCTTTCACTAATGACTGAGCAGGAAGCAGCATTCATTCATTCATTTATTCAACATCTATTTACTAAATGGTACTATGTACCTGGCATTTTCCAGAAGCTGGGGATATAGCACTGACCTAAAACCAAAACAAAACAAAAAGATCTGCCTTCACAGAGCTAACAGTCTCATGGGCAAAGATACTTTGTATAATAACAAGCAAGGAATATGTGTCATTATCCAGATATTGAAAAGAGCTCTGGAGAAAAATTGAGTAGTAAGAAACATGTAAGATGTTGTTGAAAAGGAATATTGCTATTTTAATTTATTTACTGAGGTCAAAAAAAGCCTGGCCAACTGTATGACATTTGAGCACAGATCTATAGAAAGTTACAGGGTGAGTCATTGGGACATTTGAGGCAAGTGGGTTCATGACAAAAGGCAGAGTTTCTATAGAGGCACTAAGTTTAAATGTACTTGACATCATTTATGGCTTATTTTTATTTTTTATTGATGTATAACAAATATACACATCTTCAGGTTATATGTGATAACTTAATATATTCAGATAATTTGTAAAGATCAAATCAGTATAATTGTGATAGCCATCACTTTAAGGTTTTGTCTTTTCTTTACACTAGAAATATTTGAATTTTTCTCTTCTAGCTATTATAAAATAAATGAAATATTTGAAATAAACTTTGCAAAGTGGTAGACTAGGAACTGTATCTAGCCTGCAGACCATTTTTTAAAAAAATAATTTGAATGTTATTCATTATCATTATGGCAATGTGAAAGAATTAAGAGATTTTGCATAAGAATCTTAGAAAACTGGGAGACCTGAAACACAGAATCAGGACAGGACACTGTGGTGGGACTTATTTTCCCCAGTTTAGCAGTCACTAGCCTGCAGAGAGAAGCACACAATCAACAAAGCAGAGAGGCAACCTTCAGAGTGGGAGAAGATATTCACATGCTATGAATCTGACAAAGGGCTAACAACCAGAACCTATAATGAACTCAACTCAATGAAGAAAGACAAACAGCCCTATAAAAACTGGGCAAGAAACATGAACAAAAACTTTCCTCATGAGGACAGATAAATGGCCAACAAACACATGAAAAATTGCTCGTTATACTTAATTATCAGAGAAATGCAAAGCAAACCCATTTTGAGAAATCACCTAACCCCAGTGAGAAGGGCCCACACCACAAGGTCCCAAAGCAGCCGAAGCCTGGGTGCAGAGAGAAGGGAATACTCACACACTGCTGATAGGACTGCAAACTAGTACAGCCTTTATGGGAAAAAGTATGAAGATAACGCAAAGATCTAAAAATAGACCTTCCATTTGAGCTGGCAATCCCATTACTAGGCATTTATCTAAAAGAAAAAAAGTCATTTTACCATAAGGACATTCACAACTAAATTTATTGCAGCTCCTTTCATCATCACACAAATGTGGAAACAACCCAAGTGCCCATCAATCTATGAATGAACTAGATTGGTATGTGTACACCGTGGAATATTATGCACCCATAAAAGATGGAGATTTTGTATCTTTTGTAAACACCTGGAGGGACGTATAAAGTATCACAAGAATAGAAAAACGAGCATCACATGTACTCAATACTAAGCTGAAACAAGTAGATTAACAACCACAGGCTCACACGAGGTCCCACCTAGCTGGTACAATGTGCAGACAAGTGGCACATTTCCTGGGTGAAGGACACAGCTACATCTCAGACTTCTACTTTACAAACGCAAGCAATGTAAACTTAATCAGATGTCCCCCCCTTCAATCTGAAATTTAACAAAACACCTAACAGACAGCCTCCCCACTATATTGTACCCGTTTACTTCTTTAAAAAATGTTTCACTCATCTTCTAGCTTCTTTGTTCTTTTAAGTAGTATGGTTTGGTGATTCTGGGTTTAAATTGGTTAAGAAAGAGAATACAAAAACTGATCTTTATAGTGACGGAATTTCTAGACTACTAGCATCAGTAGTTGTTTTTTGGGTTTTGTTGTGGTTTTTTTTTTTTAATTATTGCCAGAGACTGAGTCTAGCATTTAGCACAAAGGGAGGAGATCCCCGGCATACCATAAAGTACTCATTGATGCCCTAAAATAATTATCAGACTAAGATGCATCCCTTGCAGGCTTAACCTGCTTATATATTTGCATCCTCTGTTGTATTTGGAAAAAAATCAGGATAAGACATCTTTGAGAGTCACAGACTATGGTAAACACGGTAATCACAAATACTTTCCTCGCCAAAAACTCACTGAGAAATCTAAGACTATAAGGAGGTAAAGTTATGGATGATACACAAAAGGGAGAAAAATGAGCAGTTAAAAAATCAAAATTCAGAGTGTTGAGTGCTATGTAAATTAATGAAATCAAGACAAATAGCAGGAAAACAAAAACATTCATTAAAGCTTGACTTTACCTACACTGAAGGAGGCATATGGTAAGGGAATATTAATGCCATGTAGAACAGTTTACAAAAAAAATTCTCACAAAGCAATCAATATACTGATTCCCTACAAAAAGCTAAGCCGATAAAAAAAGACACAGGTACACATCGTAGGTGAGAGTTCCAACTTTTTAAAAATACAGTTGAAAAGATTAATGGCTTCCTTGATTTTCAACCCTTTAATTTCTTGATATCTACTTAGCACATTGGGTTACGTAAGCACATTGCATAGCCAAACATAAGAAATCAATTCTCTGCATTGTGGTATAAAGAATATGTTTATACCAGAGTTCTTACAAGGAGTTAAAGCTAGAGTGGCTCAGATGAATTCTTTAGGAGGCTCAAGATGCCATAGAAAAAACAATTGGGGCATTAGAGCCAGGGGCATATTGCTGGAAGGAAGATTTAGGTTCTGACCAGATGAAGGAAATAAATAAGGTCTCTAAAAGAGATGCCAAAATGTTCACAACTCTGATATAGTGAGGAGGTTGTGAACTGAACCAATGCAAGAAGTTTGGAATATATGGGTAGTCTTAAAAGATTAATAAATAAATGAGAGTTTATGGCTCGGTACCTGTAGCTCAGCGGCTAGGGTGCCAGCCACATACACCAAAGCTGGTAGGTCTGAACCCCGCCCAGGCCTGCCAAACAACAATGACAACTACAACCAAAAAATAGCCAGGCATTGGGGGGGGCACCTGTAGTCCCAGCAACTTGTGAGGCTGAGGCAAGAGAATCTCTTAAGCCCATGAATTTGAGGTTGCAGTGAGCTGTGATGCCACAGTCTACCGAAGATGACGTAGTGAGACTCTATTTCAAAAATAAATAAATAAATAAATAAATAAATAAATAATTTACCTTTAGAGAAATATAGGAAGCATGAAAGGCAAAATTTCAAAACCCAAATGTCCACTGGCCAAATGAACAAGGCTGCGGAGTGTGAATGGTATGATGGTCCAGACAATAGGATGCCCCAGTTTGAATCTCAGCTTTACCATTTATTAGCTTTGTGAAGTGGGTGACTTCCTTAACTTCTTTAATACGTCACTAATATAAGACTAGAGTGAAAATAAACAATAAATAGGTTCCAGGGGTCATGGGGAAATGAAATGAGGTAGAGAACACCAAGGGCTTAGCACAGAGCCTGACACGGAGTAAGTGATCCCTCTGTTAATATTACCATCACTCCCTGTGACTTGATAACAATTGCTAGCAATCTGCTATGGCACGTTTTTTGGTAGCTATAGAACTCAGCTAATAAAGCTCTAGGAGAGCAGTGGCACGTCTGTCTTGCTCAGAAATACACTCCCAGATCCCAGCACAGGGCTGGCTCATTACAAGGTACTCAGTGAGATTATTTAAGTGAATGCATAAATCAAAGTAATGGTGATGCAAAAGTCATTTTTGTTTCATGTTGTAAAAATGCAAATAGATTCAGGTGCCCCACTTGGACTTGACACTCTGAATAACAAAATAGGTCAACTAGACTCATTTAAAAAAAGATCTAGAAAGATGCACACCATCCCAACCTTGAAACCAGTTCTCAGTGGACGCCGGACTTACTGCACGTCAATACTTGAATTATGTATGTCAACTGCTAGGCTCACATCTTCCAGAAAACTGAGAAAGCAATAAATAGGATGTCTGAACTTGTAAAATCCCTTTTCTAGCAGCTGACCATGAGTATATGATAAAAACTTCCTGTCTTTTGCTTCCTAGCTCCTGCTAAACTACAGGTGCAGTGGAACGAAAAAGAGGGTCAGTGTCAAAAGATGGAGCCGTATCAACAAAGACACTGAAAAAGTTACCTAGATAAACTTCCATTCACTGACATCAAGGCAGGCAATACTCTATATTATCCGATCAGTGCTCAACATCTCGGAGCAATTGAACACTGGGATGAGCAAAAATAACAACTTTCAAACTGAATAATGGCTTGAACGACTGTAAAAGGACAAGATGGACAGGTAAAACATCAATGTCTCTCTCTGGATACAACACCATGAAAAGCGCCTTAAAAGACCATCAGGACGGTATCTTCAACGGTGTCAACAAATAGTGGGCATAGCGGTGTGCACTCTTACGATTTCATCACCGCCTTCCAAAATGAAGGCCAACTTTTGAATTAGTGTGCAATACAGTGGCATTTTTAAATCAAAAAGTTCTAAAATGACACTCTACCTGCAAGGCACAACATGAAGGACTGCAGGACCAGCAGTTCCCATGGCAACCTCATCTTCAGTTTCCGAGGTCAAAGGAGTTTCAAGTCCAATAACAAGTGAATAGGGTTGCTGCTTCTTTTAAGCTTTGTACAACCTTTAATCTGCGGGAAAGAAGAGACATTACAATGAGATTTGGGAATAGTTCTCCTTGTGGTCTCTGGAAATTTATCTTGGCTGGAATATAAATAAAATTCACTTGTGAGAAAGTATTTTTGGAGGAGGAGAGAGAAGCACGTTAAATAATGGATATGAAGCAAAGAAGCCTCGTATTATTTTCGTCCGAGTAATACTTGGGGATAGACTGGAGCCGGTGTGTCGCTGTAGCCTCTGAGTGAAGACAAGAGCAACTTCAGATGCAGCGTGAAGCAACCTGGAGGCAGGGGGATAAATTGCACTTTGCTAATTTCCTCCTAGTCGCTTAGTGTCCAGCCCTGGTTTTTATTTACTTTCTAATTAGTGATACACCCAGAAAAGCAAATGCAGAAGAAATGCCACAAAACAAGATAGGGAGGGTTAGACTGGGGGTCCTAAGTAGAAATTCCCAATTTTTAGAAGTTATGTGCCAGAAAATTGTGACTATTCTATCAATGCAAACATTTTGTCCCCTACGTGCCACGTTTCAACTCTAACATGGAATAGAAATATGTATCCCCTATGCCTCCTTCGAGACATCCTGCCAACTATTAGTAGGTACCTACTAGGTTCATTTGGATAAATCCAGAGCATGATTAAAAACAGCAATACTTCTGTTAGTCAGGAAACTTCAAGGAGTAGAATTCTGTGATAAAGAGGGGACTTTTGTTCCGTGTATCAAAAGCTTCAAAACAAGTAACCAAATGAGTGAAACCAGGGGGCAGACGCTGGCACTCTGGAGAAGGGAGGCACCGTGTCCTGGATGACAGGGGCAGGCGCTCTTCAGCTGGAGCAGATGGGTCACCTGGTGGACACTGGCCCAAGTTTGCAAGAGCAGCTACAACGTTTTCAAGAAAAGTTAAAAATATTGTATTTTGAAAATCTCACGAGTTTTGAATGTCGGAAGTAAGTTTTAAACATTTTCGTACTACCACCTGACCTAAACAAAGCCCAGTGGCCCGTGGTGCCAGAGGTTTGCTCACTGTGCGCCCCCTCTCCCACCCATCCCGACAGCCAGACATACATGATGCATCAGTGAAGCACCTGCTGCTTGCCAGAGGCATTGGACCTGCCAAAATGAAAAAGATACCATCTCTGTCCTCTCCCATCGCCTACTGCGGTGGAGACAGTCACCCACACTTGCATACAACTCCCATATAATAATCCTGTGTTCAAGAAAGGAGGAAACATTTTGCCTTGGAGTCTTCCTAAAGGAGATAAGCCCACCCTGGGGTTTGAAAGGTGAGCAGGATGCTGTCTGCTTAACAGCTCATCACTTAAGTGAGAAATCTAGGGAACCTGGAGACTTGCATTCTCTATACAACTTTGGCAGTAACAGTTGTTGGTACTTCTGGGAAGTCTGCCCCCCTCTGAAGGTTATTTTAAGGGAAACCTCCCTGAAATCTACATGGCACCATATATTGCCAGAAATTACTATTGTAGTCTCAATATACTGTTTAGTTTCTATATTTAAAATATTTTAAATGTATATTATTTTTAAAATGCAAATTGTATGTATTTATTGTGGCATAAGCACACAATCCTTAGATACATGTGTACAGTGTGGGAACCCTGAGATTTTTAAGCTGGTAATAACCTGGATCACCTCATGTCATTTCCCCTAATAAGAAAAAACACCTGAGCAAACATAGGCTTACATGAAAACAGGAACCAACATAAGCTGGTTGGTTAATCAAGGGCTTTTAACGTTAATTTCAACCACATGATCACTGTAAAGCCTTGATGTTTACCAGGAAGCTAAAAGAAAGTGAAGAACCATCATTAGAGAACTCGCCTTTCTTTTGTGCCCTTAAATAGCCTGATTTTTGATAAAGCTAGACTTAATACGTTGTGAAGACAAAAGGGGCTCTTAACTTCTGATCTGCTGATGTGGCTGAAAGCAGGCAGCATCTCTAATTGGATATGTTCAGATACACTTCTGACATGCATGGTGATTAGGCCATTTTAGATAAACAGGATGTGCTGATCAATGAAAACTATTAATGTCTTAAGCAAATGATCAGGGTATTAATAATTAATTTTGCGAGGGAAATGTCATCTCGGACCTGAGGATTGATCTACAATGTTAAGCAGTTTCTTGAAGCAATTAAAATTAGCTTAGGAAATGTATCCAATTACACGATACAGATTCAATTCACGATATGATGCTCTTCACGGTGCATGTGCTGTTGAGAGCTGTGGCTTTACAGGGATGGAGAAACTCAAGAACCCTGTTGGCATTTTATTTACACTCAGGTAGGTAAGGTTCACCCTCACTAATCAGAAATAATGGGGTCACTGGTAGTAATTTGTCTAGTGGGCAGTGGTAATCAAAGCACCATGTTTTCTGAAGGGACTGAAGATTCATGAATCTCATGTGGCTGGGGTGCAGGGTACAAAGTTTCATAATTTCTGTTTTTCTGCCAGAGGCAGAAAGAAAGCTGCAGGATGAGCCAGGAGTTATGGTGGCAATAGATCTCCCCTGTAGCATTGAGCTCTCTCTGGTTTATCCGAAGGTGACTGTAGCAAAGGTAGTATACTCAGCACTAGCTTTGAGATCTTGCCCAAGAATGAGACTCGTAAATAAATCCCGGGAAGGAAGCCACACGATGAAGCAGGACGTGGTTGCTTTCTCTGACTGAGCCGAAAGGAAATAAATAATCAAGAACTGTGCAAGATATTTTTTTTCACATTTCTGCACAGAGTAAAACTTCCTTCAACATTTCAAACATTTCTGCTACTAATAGTCATACTGAAGACCTCAGTATAAAGTCCTGGGGGGGGGGGGAGGCGGAATATGATTCAGGCCTGGTGTAATAGCTCATACCTGTAATCCTAGCATTATAAAAGGCTGAGGTGGGAGGATTTCTGGAGGCCAGGAGTTTGACCCCTACCTCAGGAAAAGCAAGACTCCTCATCTGTACAAAAAGTAGAAAAATTAGCCAGGTATGGTGGTGCATGACTGTAGTCCCAGTGACTCTGGAGGCTAAGGCAGGAGGATTGCTTGAATTTGAGATTGAAGTGAGCTATGATGAGGCCACTGCACTCTATACTAGGTGACAGAGTAAAACTCTGTCTCAAAAATATAAAAAAATAAAAAATAAAAAAAGCATGATTTGGTTTTATTTTAACAGTCCTAGTTTTCAAGAATCTACACAGAGGTCCTAGTCATATTTTTTTTCTGGGCCCTATGCCAAATTTTAATTTTGCTAGTACCCAAATAGTGACCTGATTCAGCTCAACAAAAAAGTAACGGTGTTTGCTGTGTGGTAGAGAGAGTGCTAGGTGTCTGGTGTGCACAGGTGAGAGAGGTGTGACCTTTCTTCAAGGGCCTCACAGTTTACTCGGTGAGAGGCAAATAAACCAGGAATCACAATTCAGTACCATGTGGATATTAAGCCCCATTAAGTACAAGGTGCTAAGAAAGAAAGAGTATCATCTAAGCCAGGAGGTGGAGTCTGCAGGGGCCTTCAAGATAGTTCTCCAAAGGAACTGAGTCTTAAAGGATAACAAGACAGAGGAAGGGCGTTCTAAGCCAAGATGCAAGGAAAACAGGCAGGAAGCAGTGAGAACTTAGTGTGTTCAAGTTCAAACAATGCAAAATGATGAAAAGCGCACTCTGTTGAGGCAGACTTGTGTCCAATCCTGGACCTCCCATTCTCTAGCTGTGTAGTTCATCTACAAAATAAAGGCAATCATGCATGTCTGCCAAGCTTACTGTAAATATCAGTGAGATTGTAGGGAAGGCACCGAGAACAGGTAACACGCTGTACCTATCACCTGGATAGACTGCATAGTACAGCCAGATGTTGCCTGCAAGGGCTGCGAGGAAAAGAGGTTAGAAGACAAGCAAGTCAGGAGTCTGGTCTCTAATCAACCTTGACTGTACACTAAAGATTTCAGATGTGATTCTGAAGGTTAAAGGGAGGGAAGAATGACTTTAAACAGAGGAAGGGCCAGAATAAATGTGATCCTCCTGTATGGGGATTTGTATTAAAGCACAGAATAACCATTTTACCTCTTTGCTTTTCTCCTCTGGTCAAGAAGTTAGTTACATGTCTAATTACTAAGTATAGTTTCAATATATAACACATTTTTAAAGGCTTGCTGGCAGCAAGAGAGAGAGGGAAAACCCTGGATTTGGAATCAAGCACACTGAGTTCTTTCTTTCTGGTTTGTCATAAAATATCTGACTTTGGGAAAGCCAATTAATCTCTATAAATGGATTTGCTCGTCTGTAGATTGGGGGAAGCATGCCATAAAGCTCTACCTTCGGCTCGGCGCCTATAGCTCAACTGGCTAAGGC